TCACTGTGATGTTGTTGAGTCCCCGGTAGTCGATGCACGGGTGCAGGGTTTTGTCCTTCTTCTCCACAAAGAAGAACCCTGCGCCAGCGGGGGAGGCAGAAGGACGGATTAACCCGGCAGCTAGGGAGTCCTCAATGTAGGACTCCATAGCCTTGGTCTCCGGACCCGACAGCGAGTACAGTCGTCCCTGGGGCGGAGTGGTGTAGTCATAGGGTCGGTGCTGCGGAAGCGAAGTGGCCCGGGCCTTACTGAACACCTCCCGGAGGTCCTGGTACTTCGCGGGAAACCGGAGAGGTCCGAGGCAACTTCAGAGCCCCCAGGAAGACGTCCCAGGGGCAGGCTGCGCTGACTTCAGGCAATGAGCATGGCAGAACGGGCTCCAGCCCATGATGGTACCAGTAGACCAGTCAATAAAGGGATTGTGTCGCTGGAGCCAAGAGAAACGACTTAATTAGCAGGAATTGGATCGTCTCGCTGTAGTTCCCTGATACTTTTAGGTTGATGGGGGTGGTATTGTGGGTGACCCGGCCTGTAGAGCGCCCATCCAGCGCTCTAACGTCCATGGGAATGGAGAGGGGCTGAGTGGGGATGCGTCCATAAAGCTCTCATCGGCCCCAGAGTCAATTAATACCTGGAGAGATTTCGACAGGTTCCCCCACAGCAAGATGGCATGAAAGGGGATGCGAGTAAGGGGAGAGGAAAAGTTCTCCATATGGCCCACCAGAGTACTCGCTCCTACCAGTGAGCCTGGTCTTTTAGTGGACAGGTGGACACAAAATGACCAGTAGTCCCGCCATACAGGCAACTCTTCGTGTGAAGCCTGTATTGCCGTTCGGCTGAAGACAGCCTATCTCTGCCTAGTTGCATCGGCTCGAGAAGAGGTGAATCGGCAGACTTCGGAGACTCTCGGAGGAACTATGGTAGCCTCGGGTTCTCTCAGCAACGGAGCCGTCGGGGACTTCCAGGATGTCTCGGAGGCGAGGTGGAATCCTTGGGCGGGCGAGTGGAATCGGACTTCCTCTCCTTCCTTCATTCCCGTAGTCACCCATCGATCCGAATGGTTAAGGTGATAAGCGAGTCGAGATCCGTCGGTAGTTCTGGGCTGCAAGCTCATCCTTTACTTCCTCCGATACTCCGTGCAGGAACGTGTCGAATAGCGCTTCCGGGTTCCAGGCACACTCAGCCCAACGTGCGGAAATCCACTATATAGTCTGCCACACTGCGGGATTCTTGCCGAAGCTGGAGTAACTTCCAGGCAGCCTCACTCTCGGACAATGGAGCATTGAAAACCTTCTTTACCTCCTGCATGAACTACTCCAGACTGAAGCACACGGCCGACTGTTGTTCCCATACTGCCGTAGCCCAGGCGAAAGCCCTCCCGGACATCAGCGTGATGAGGCACGCTATCTTAGAGAGGTCCAAGGGGAAGGAGGAGGGCTGCAGCTCGATGATGAGAGAACACTGAACGAGAAATGCATGACAGGTTCCCGACTCTCCAACGAAGCGTTCTGGGGGAGGTAAGCCGGGTTCTCAGGAAACCGGGGTGGCCGGGGAGGCCAGGCTGTTAACAGCTGGGTTACTGAGGGGCTGGGAGGTTAACGTCGTGGTAGGCTGCCTAACAGACAATCCGCGGTATTGCTCCAGCAATGTGTTAAACACTCGGTCATGGCGTTCGGCCAAGGTCTGGAACCCTTCCATGAGACCACGAAGCAACTTCTTGTGCCTTCCAATGGTGGCTCCTTGGGAGGAGATTGTGTTGCGGAGCTGGTCCGAGTCTGCTGGGTCAGTCATGGCCAGTTTGTACTACACGTTTCAGGAGAAGACCCAGATGCAGACAGTGTCGAAGTAACAACATTTTATTACAAAAACAGGGGGCAGGCAAACGACAGGTCAAGGGCAGGCAGGGGTCAGTAATCCAGATCAGAGTCCAAAAGGTACAGAACGGCAGGCAGGCTCAGGGTCAGGGCAGACAGAGGTCAATAATCCAGGGTGGTGTGACAAGGTACAGAACGGCAGGCAGGCTCAGGGTCAGGGCAGGCAGAATGGTCAAAAATTTGAAAACTAAAAAACAGGAACTTGAGAAAGACAGGAGCAAGGGGGAAACCGCTGGTAGGCTTGACAAAACAAAACAAACTGGCAACAGACAAACAGAGAACACAGGTATAAATACACTGGGGCAAATGGGGAAGATGGGCGACACATGGAGGGGGGTGGAGACAATCACAAAGACAGGTGAAACAGATCAGGGTGTGACAGAAACTTCTCACAGCCAACGACCAACCCTAGGCACTCCTTTTCTTTTCAGTCAAAGAACGGGCCTCATAAGCCACAGGCTTCCACATCCCTTGACGCTGCTGAAGCAGCACTGCTCCAATGCCATCTTTGGAGGCGTCCGTGGACACCTTAGTAGGCCAGTCAGGTTGAAACAAGTTAGCACTGGCTCTTCAGACAAAATTCTATTCCATGTTCTCTGTTCCATGAGAACTCTGTCTCGTACTGAAGGAGTGTTTTAGCTGACAGGTTTGGTACAAACTTCCCCAAATAATTGACCATACCCAAAACACGCTGAATGCCTTTCCCATCTGTGGGATTTTCCATCTCCCTCACTGCTTTGACCTTGGCATGATCAGGCTGCACATCCTCCGAGGACAGCTTATCCCCCAGAAATGTGATTTCCTTCACACAGAACTGTCATTTAGCTCGATTTAGCTTCAAACAATGCTTCTGAACCCTCTGCAGAGTCTTTTCCAGCTGCTCATTGTGTTCCTGAATAGTGGACCCCCAGACCACAAAATCATCCACATACATTCTTAACTCCCTCTAACCCCCTCTAACTCCCTCTAACTCCCTCTAACCCCCTCTAACCCCCTCTAACTCCCTCTAACCCCCTCTAACCCCCTCTAACTCCCCTCTAACTCCCTCTAACCCCCTCTAACCCCCTCTAACCCCCTCTAACTCCCTCTAACCCCCCTAAACCCCCTCTAACTCCCTCTAACCCCCTCAAACCCCCTATAACTCCCCTAACCCCCCTCTAACACCCTCTAACCCCCTCTAACCCCCTAAACCCCTCTAACCCCTCTAACCCCCTCTAACCCCCTCTAACCCCCCTCTAACCCCCTAAACCCCTCTAACCCCCTCTAACTCCCTCTAACCCCCTCTACCCCCTCTAACCCCCTCTAACCCCCTCTAACTCCCTCTAACTCCCTCTAACCCCCTCTAACCCCCTCTAACCCCCTCTAACTCCCTCTAACCCCCTCTAACTCCCTCTAACCCCCTCTAACCCCCTCTAACTCCCTCTAACCCCCTCTAACTCCCTCTAAACCCCCCTCTACCCCCTAACCCCTAAACTCCCTCTAACTCCCTCTAACTCCCCTCTAACCCCCCCTCTAACCCCTCTAAACCCCTCTAACCCCCTCTAACCCCCTCGTAACCAAACCCCCTAACTCCCTCGTAACCCCCTCTAACCCCTCTAACCCCTCTAACCCCCTCTAACCCCCTCTAACCCCCCTCTAACCCCCCCAACTCCCTAAACCCCCTCTAACTCCCTCTAAACCCCCTAACCCCTCTAACCCCTCTAACCCCCTCTAACCCCCTCTAACCCCCTCTAACCCCCTCTAACCCCTCAATGACACTTTTCATGGCCTTGTGAAAGAGCTCAGGGGCAGAACTAATGCCAAAAGGTAACCTCTTAAAGGAATATCTTCCAAAGGGAGTATTGACTGTACACCATTTGGTGCTGGCTGCATCCAACCTCACCTGCCATAATCCATTTGAAGCATCCAATTTGGAGAAATAGTGTGTGCCAGCCATTTCACACACTATCTCCTCCCTCTTAGGAATCTGAAAATGCCCCCTTTTTTCCTCCTCCATAGCGGTGTTTGCTGGTGTGGAGCTAAAGGTTTGAATATGCAATTGTGCCAGCTCATTCGCCTGACATATTTTTACTGCAGTGTCCAAATGTAACTCACTTTCCTGCAGCAATCTTTCTCTAACTCTGGAGTCATTTATACCAAACACAATCTGATCTTGAAGCATAGATGAGGTTAGAGCTACAAAATTACATGTCTGTGCTTTTAATTTCAAATCTGTAAGAAAGACGTCAAACTTTTCACCTTGCTGTTGTATATGACAGCGAAACACATAACGTTCATATGTCTCGTTCTTCTTTGGTGAACAATATGCATCAAACTGATCCAGTACCTCCACGAACTCGTCTTTACCCTCCTCATTTGCAAATGTGAAGGTATTGAATCTATCGATTGCCTGTGGTCCCGCTATAGTAAGAAAGAGAGCAACCTTACATTCATCCGGCTCCTTTGTAACTCCAATGGCAGACATATACAGCAAAAAAAAAACGCTGCCTAAATGTTTTTCCAATTCGCGTCCACATTCCCATCCAGGCTCAAAGCCTCTGGTGGCTTGATAACATCCATTGCACTTCCATAAACTCTAACATTCACAGAAAAAACAAGATTTCCTGGTACCATGTGTGACTTTGTGGGTTACAGCGAGCAAAGACGACCATCACCACCAATCATAGTTAACACGTTTTTTCATGTTATTCTGCCACTGCCACACATATACCACAGGTGTTATAAAAAGAGTGTCATAACAATCCCTCAGAACCACATCAATTCAAATAGGACTTCCTGGATATATATAAACCAGGTCTCTCCAACCCTGTTCCTGGAGAGACATCCTCCTGTAGGTTTTAACTCCAACCCCAGTTGTAACAAACTGATTCAGCCTATCAACCAGCTACTCGGGGGCGCTAGATCAGGGTTTCCCGAACTCTGTCCTGGAGTTTGGCCGGTGTAAGCCGTCATTGTAAATAAGAATTTGTTCATAACTGACTTGTCTAGTAAAATAAAGGTTAAATTAAAATAAAAATGTCATCCCACAGGATTGTCCCAGAGTAGTGCGGAGGTAAATGGGTCTCTGGGAACGATTCGAACCGTGGGGAACTTCCTCACGCTGAGGCTGGACAGCCAAGCGGGATTATGGGAAATCAGTGTGAAATCAACTGCGCCCTACTCTCTGAAGGTCGTAGGTGGGTGCGACGACATTGCCTTTTCTGGAGGGTATATTACATAGACAGTGGGCATGTTAGCAAGCATTTGTAATAGTGTGCTGAACAGTGTGTTAACATGGTATTTAGGTTGGCAGGTTAAGTGTGTGGGTAACACATTGTTACAGAGTACTTACAACTGTTTGAGGTTTACACAATTTCAGAGATTATGCTAATAAACTCAAGTGTGATGATTATTTTTTGACAACTGTTGACCGTATGCGTTTATTCCATGTTCAGAGGTCAGAGCTCCTCGACTTTCTCTTTCCAGGTCAGAGCGCCATCGACTTCCTGTTTGACTTTGTGGAGGTGTCCCAGGGTCCTCATCCAGGCTTTGCTGTTTTAGAGTCCCGTCCTCAAGCTGGTGAGACAGGATTTAAAGAAACAGTTTGAGCACAGTGATACAGGGTGGATATTTACAGGGGGCACCAAAATGCTGTCTATGTCTGTCAGTTCCTCCATCGTGGTTCCTAACACTGACATTGATTTAACATTCGTAACTTTTTTTGGGGTTCTTTACTGACAGGTTTCTAGCCCAGCATTTAAGTATAATGTGATTAGCTACTTATACATTGGCTACCTCCTAACCTCCACATTTCTCCGCCCCAGGTGGCAACGCCACATTGCTGGTGTCGGTGACGGGGAGTGACTCTGTGAGGCTGAGGGAGGTGGCCCTGGTCGAGGCCTCGGGGTCAGGGGAGGTCAATGGAACCTTGGAATCAGTCGGCAGTGGGGACTTCCTGGTTACCATGGACAGAATCCCAGCGGGGGAGTTTGTTGTGCGTCTGAGAGGAGAGAACAGTGCCACCACCAGGGCATCACCAGACAGCTTCCAGAGACAATCCTCCACCCGCCTCAGAGCCTCCACTGTTATGGTGACGGTGAGTGCCAAGGTCAAAGGTGAAGAATCAGAGTTGTTGAAGTTGCCCCTTGACATTGGGTCTGGTAATTTTCTAATTTTACCCTGTGATGGTTAGTGTTTGGGAGGTATCCTGGGGAAACTTGTAGCCTACCAATCTTGAGTAGTGAGTACACAGAGCTCCATATTCAGATAAATGAATGACTACAGTAGGCAGAACGTTCTGCTGTGTTCTGTCTGGTTCAGGCTGAGGCAGAACGTTCTATTGTGTTCTGTCTGGTTTCAGGCTGAGGCAGAACGTTCTATTGTGTTCTGTCTGGTTTCAGGCTGAGGCAGAACGTTTTGTTGTGTTCTGTCTGGTTTCAGGCTGAGGCAGAATGTTCTGTTGTGTTCTGTCTGGTTTCAGGCTGAGGCAGAATATTCTGTTGTGTTCTGTCTGGTTTCAGGCTGAGGCAGAATGTTCTGTTGTGTTCTGTCTGGTTTCTGGCTGAGGCAGAATATTATGTTGTGTTCTGTCTGGTTTCTGGCTGAGGCAGAATATTATGTTGTGTTCTGTCTGGTTTCAGGCTGAGGCAGAACGTGACCTGGAGCCTGGAATACCCTTTTCACTGCTGTTCACGGTGACAACCAACGGGACAGGCGGATCCTTCACCATCCGGGCCACAAACGACCGGGGGTTCAAATCCTCTTCCCCTACAAACCTGAAGCTAGTGACCGGGGTCAGTGCCAACGGCACAGTGACCCTCACGGCGCCCGCCAACACCGCGTCGGGCACGGACGTCACCCTGACCATCGAGGCTGAGTCTCCCGGGGCCACCGACACCAACTACGCTGTCCTGCGCCTGTCCGTCGTTTCACCGGTAACTCTGAGGAACACAGGGTGTTTCGTTTATGTGTTGGTCTTTTCTCTGTTCTTGGTGTAGTGGTAGAAATTAAAGTAGCCTGGTCGCAGATCTGTTTGTGCCAACATTCCACTCCTTGTCATGACAAGGAGTAGCAAGGAGTGGAATGATAGCACAAACAGATTGTTACCCAGGCTATAATTACAGCAGGGATTAATAGGAAAAGTCATTGTCACCGCACTCATGTCTTTCCTCCAGGGTTAACGTTGTAATTGTTTGTAATGTATTTTTAGATCTGTGTCGGACTCCAGTTAGACTAGCTGGTGTCATGGCGTCAGCTAATGGGGATCCTAATCATTTTTTAAAATTATTTCCCCTCCCCTGCAGGTGACAGATTTCACCCGTCCGGTGTGCAAGGTGGTCAGCGTAACGGCTAATTGTTCTGACGACTGCAGCCTGTCCATGTGGGAGCTCTATGCCAACCTGACGGATGGCAACGGGACGGGCATCGAGCGCGTCACCCTGCGCCAGGGCAACGGAACACTCAACACCAGCACGGTGGCGGGCGCGGGAAATTGGACCGTGACTCTGGCAGCCTACAGCGCCTCCTGCTGTTCCCCGGAGGTAGAACTGGTGGCGGTGGACGGCGCGGGGAACGTGGGAACCTGTTTCAGGTCCATCAGAGTGACAGTGGATACCACTGTCCAGCCACCAGTCACCAATGTCACCAGTGTCACCAGTGCTATCAGTGTCACCAGTGTCACCAGTGCTATTACTCAGAACAGCATCACCAAGACTACAGCTAAGGTTGGCACCACCGCGAGCAGGGGCCATATTCTATCCGTCTCTTCCTATCTCTGTTTCATCATGTTGGTCTCTGTCACAGTCGTTTTGAGCCGCTAGGTAGTTAGTGTCACGGTGTGACTACTGGTCTTGAAAGATGTTTAATCATATTCAATAGTTTCTCTGTTATAATACTGCCTGGTAACTTTCCATAATTGTGTAGATTCTAATAGATGCCAATTAGCAGACGTGTTTAACCAAAGTGACTTACAGCAATGCGTGCATACATTTCATGTACGGGTGGTCCCGGGAATTGAACCCACTACTCTGGTATTGCAAGGGCCGTCCTCCACCAACTGAGCTAGAGAGATCAGCTTGACTAACCTGTGCCCCGACACATTGACTCTGTACTGGTACCCCCTGTATATAGCCTCCCTACTGTTATTACACATTGACTCTGTACTGGTACCCCCCTGTACTGGTATATAGAATCGCTACTGTTATTTTACTGCTGCTCTTTAATGATTTGTTATTCCTATTTTTTACTTAACACTTATTTTTCTTAAAGCTGCATTGTTGTTTAAGGGCTTGTCAGTAAGCATTTCACTGTAAGGTCTACACCTGTTGTATCCGGCGCATGTGACAAATACAATTTGATTTGATTTGATACAGCTTCGTGTCTTTTCGATGGAGCTCCTATCACCTGTGCTGAGTGTATCATAGCAAAGTGCCAAGGCAGTCTCTACTTCCTGATGTTGTGGGTGTAGTTTGGACTATCTATAGGGCACAGGAACCCTGTGCGTGAACAGAGATTGAAGCGCATGTGCTGGTTTAGATTAATATGCATATGGTATTGATAAGTAATCATACATAATCATAACGTATGTTGATACCACTGTCATTTCTTATTGGTCTATAGCCATAAAGACTGGCATTATTAGGTATCAATAAGACGCTCTACTTCCTAATGTTCTCCGCTTAGTTGTTCTTGTCACTTGTATGACCTCTTGTGTGACCTGTTATCTGTAAATGTTGATTCTCTTTTGTGACGTCAGTCCTCGATAATGTGAGACAAATTCCTACAAAGGCCAATAAAGTGAACTGAAGAAGTAAACAAGTCGTTTTAATTGGCCCATATACTTCATAGATCTTCTAATTATTTGTGTGAACTATCCCTACAGGCTAATTGCAGCAAGTTCTAGTGCTGTGTTTGTCGCCCTCTACCGGCACTACGTGTGGGTGCATGCAGTACATCTCAGCACAACACTTGGTCTGGAGACGCACGCAGCTGTCGAGGCGAAGGAGGACAGATGATAGTTTGTGACCGAGTGGCAGTTTCCGTTGTGTCACCGACTGACTGACCGAGTTGCACATGGATTTTGTCGGCCTGATACCCTCGCCCAGGATAGTTTAGGAAATGGCTGCCAAATTGTGACCGCAGTCTTGTAGGAAAGCCAATTGTATTGGCCCATATGGGCTATCCGTTTAATATATATATATATATATATATATATTAGGCATATCTGACGGTTTATAGAAGACTATAGTTCACAGTCACGGCAGGTCGTCTACGTTTTAATGTAATCCACTATCCCACTGTCCCTCTTTAGGCGCTTGTATAGAACAGCCTGGCGCGCGACCACCTGACCCCCGGCGCGCGGTCCCAGCGCAATCTATAGCTCTTTCACCCTCACGGGAGAGATAGCCCGACACCGACAGGGCTCTTTCGAAAATAGACAGGACCCCCCCCCCCCCCCCCCCCCCCCCACACACACACACACACACACCCTCCCTTTTCTCTCTGTCACCCGTTTCAGACCCACTCCCTTCTCTCTCCGCCGAGGAGCGTCGTTGTTATACCTCGCTCCCCGTCCGCCAAGTCCGCACCGAGTGTCCAAACTGAACCAGAGAAAACACTTCAATAAGCAGGGAGCGTTACCGAGAACAGAAAACTACCAAGGGAAGGGGGGAGAGGAGAATTCGGAGGGCAAACGACAGTGGAGATCCCCAACAAATACCGAGCTGAGTGAGTGAGTGAGTTGTTTCAATGAATTGACCTAAAGCGGCTGTGTTCTAATATCCTTAATAATCGATGCAGTTGAACAGACAGCTTCTTTTACCGCGTTGTCTGTGTGTTGCGTAGTAATGCTGGGAAAGTCATAGATTGTGACTGCGCTCTTTTTCTCCGCGGACAGTGGCGAGTTTAAAATTGTGACTGCTGAACTAAATGGAGCACGTTGTGCAAGAGAGGGGGGAGGACTAACCCCCCCCCCCCCCCCCCCCCCCCCCCCCCCCCACACACACACACACACACCCACCCCCTTCTCTCCCTATAGGGGTCAAAATTATTAGTCTACTGTGTCAGGTTTCCAGGTGTGTGTGTGTCCAAACGTGCGCGTACGCGCACATGGAGTGTATGTCTGCGTATGTGCCGATATTCTTGTTATTTGACAGATCATGGAGATCGGTTTCATTGTACTATTTGGGATGGTTAGGCCCTCTCCCCAGAGGGGTAAGGGGTAGGGCTTGGGGGTGGGAAGGGACAGTTTGGCATGTCTATATTAGGAAAGTGACCATGTCATTCTTTCACTCTGTCTCGAGAGCCATGCCATGCGCCAGGGCAGAGCACTGAAAATAAGAGTTCTAATCTAATTCCTATCGGAACACACAGACAGGCAGGCAGACAGACAGACAGACAGACAGGCAGACAGACAGACAGAGAGACAGACAGACAGACAGACAGACAGACAGACAGACAGACAGACAGACAGACAGACAGACAGACAGACAGACAGACTGACTGACTGACTGGAACATTACAGACAAACGGAACGTGTCTGTACTGTAATGGAACTAGTTTAATGCACTGATTGTAAATCGCTCTGGATACGAGCGTTTGCTAGGTGACTACATTTTGAATGTAATGTAAATTCAACTTTTATTTCTGGGATATTAACAAACAAGAAAGCTGTGCATTACTATATTTTAACTTTGAACAGTTTGTTTATAAAGAGTAGGCCTACCTTATTACAGTGTTACAAACTGTTTAATAAGAAGACAAATGTCCCTAAAGATAGCAGTAAAAACTATTCTTGTTTAAAGAGAACTTCTTGTGATGGAGTTGGGTAACTAAGAGTGTGGTCCTCTGTAGCTCAGCTGGTAGAGCATGGCGCTTGTAACGCCAGGGTAGTGGGTTCGATCCCCGGGACCACCCATACGTAAAAATGTATGCACGCATGACTGTAAGTCGCTTTGCGTCTGCTAAGTGGCATATTAATATCATGCCTTTGTAGAGTAGACATGTTCTGTAACCATAGTGTTCACCAGCATGGTTTCTATTAGGGTTGAATGGCTGGAACCCGGTTACCGAGATTTACTGCCCAAAACCACTCCCTTTTCCCGGGATAAATAACTGTGAGAAAGCGGTAAATTATAATAAATTATATATATGAACAGCATGGCGTGAAATGGAATTGTTAAATGATATGCAATGTCTAAATCTGGCTTCGCTATGGCCTCTGCATGATGATTCAATGCCCACGGTGGGGACAGACAGCCCATCTCGGTATGGAGTGCAGTTCACAATGCATGTAGACCTTTCATCTCATCATGGTAGCTTTTTATCTTGTGACAGGTAGGCCTACATTTGCTGCAGCATAACCTATGCTGCAGTAATATAAGGACCGAATGCGCGTCAAATTTAACCATCTCCATCTGGCTTTCGGGGTCACCTTGTTTTTTAATTGTAAAGATTATAGTTTTTTAATTGCAGCTGCAGAGTTTTAAACTGCAGAGTTTTAAAACTGTATATCACTCGAATATCGTTGCTTTAAATCAGTGCACGCACTAGCACTCTGGCAGTCTTTCTCTCTCTCCATCAACTCCATTCAAATTGCATCCAAAATAGAACACCCTGTTCTAGATTGATATATAGCCCTATCCATAGAAGTCCTAGCCTACCTCTTTCAGGTAATACATTCAATGCAGTGTTAGCCTTATATTTAGCGAATTAATTATGCGTTATGCATAATAAGCTTCTAACTTATAGCCTCTGTCTCTTGCACGATAAGCAAGCACCTGTGCTCCGCTGGCCTCCTTAAAAAACGCTCCTTAGCTCATTTTTTTTGTTTTGTTGCATTTCTTATACCAAAAGACTATTCGAAGAGGGAGGCAAGCTCTTTTTTGCTGAATGTTAAATACAGCAGCCAATAGAAAACACTGGTAGTTTGAAGGATGAGTGTACACAGTAAAAACAGAAGTGTTAATTTAACTCCTATCGAGTTGAATTTAACTCTGTTTCAGATAACATTTGGTCCCACTCAAAATCAGTGTAAAATGTACTCTTTGGTCAGTGTAAAACTTTTAGAGTTAATTCTACTCCATATTGTGTAAAAAATAACAATGAAATGTGTCAAAATATTTAACACTGTAGTTTAATCACACTGTTGAGAGTAATATGATTACACTGTATAGAGTTAAGTCAACTACAATTTTACTTTAAAAAATGACACTTTAAAGTGTAATGATATTTACTTTTCATTTCTCTACAGTGTTTTTTTTTTTTTAATTTAAATCATATGATGTAGTGTTACTGAATTATAGAAATATCAATACTATCAAATAAAACAAAGCACAATAATACAAGATGAGAGCACCCACATTTATTGAAAAAAAAAAGTATAATTTCAATGTCCGTGAATTTACATTGTACACCCATTGCCTTGTCTATGACAGAAGTATAACATCATAAAAATGTTCACCAGAGAAAGCAATATGGCACAACAAGGAGAGCTGTGTCATTTCCTCCATATGACCTTTGTATGTCAAAAGGTCTAGGGTAGTGCAGGTTGTCGACATGAAAAAAAACTAAATCATGCTTTGATCTGATCACCTCATATGCATGGAAATGTTCTTGAAAAGTTACTGTAACTAAAGGCACTGTGAGTAGTAACAGTTTTTCACACATTATCAGAACTGACTCAATCTGATAAAACAAGGGCACTTCAGAGTCAACTTCGCCATAGATAACCAAGTGTGGGCGATAAACATACCCATTATGTTTAGCCCAATTAACCTTCATAACCTGAATGCTACTGGGCACTTGCATTGCCAAAGCAATT